AAGTCTGAGTCCGGTCTAGTTTAAAAATAAACAATAAAGCCCAATATAAACAAGCAAACATTTCTCGTGTTCTTTCGTTAAACAAGCGGTTAATAGATTATACACAAAATAACAGGCTCTCCATTGTACTCTCCATCAAGGTAAGGAGGAGGGGGGAGGCAAGGGGGACAGTGCCCCATCATAGACTTCTTAAAATAGGACAGGTATTTTATCAAACAAGTGTTTTTATTTTAAGCGTTTAATGCCTACATAAATAAAAAAGTTATTTGATGTTTAGTAAATAAAAGCTTTATAAATAGTAAAATATATGTCTTTTAAAAATCTGAACAGAAAACACATGACGTTATTTGTCAGAAAAATGCAATTAAGATGTTTTAATTAAGTCCAGTGTCCAAGAGTGTACGGGGGCGGCCAGATATTTGACAAGTCCAGCTTTACAAGGTCAGAAAATTCAAAATTTAATTTAAGAAATTTGTATTTCTTTTTTGGTCACAGCATTCAGCAAAATCCAGGATACTCCGTTCCAGGTTTCCAGGATGCTCTGTTCCCGGTTTCCTGAATACTCTGTTCCCAGTATCCTGGCTACCTTGTTCCACGTATCCTGGATACCCTTTTCCAGTTTTCCTGGATACCCTGTTCCAGGTTTCCTGGATGTTCCAGGTTTCTTGGATACCCTGCTCCTGGTTTCCTGGATACACAGTTCCATGTTTCATTGATTTGCTGTTCCCAGTTTCCCGGGAATAGTGTTCCAGGTTTCCTGGTTACTCTGTTCCAGTTTTCCTGGATACAGTGTTCCAGGTTTCCTGGATACCCTGTTCCCGGTTTCCTGGATATCCTGCTCCAGATTACCTGGATACCCTGTTCCAGGTTTCCTGGATACCCTGTTCCCGGTTTCTGGATACCCTGTTCCCGGTTTCCTGTATAACCTGCTCCAGATTACCTAGATACCCCATTCCAGGTTTCTTGGATACATAGTTCCAGGTTTCCTGGAAATCCTGTTCCAGGTTTCCTAAATACACTGTTCTAGGCTTCCTGGATACCCTGTTCCAGATTCCTAGAAACAGTGTTCCAGGTTTCTTGGATACATAGTTCCAGGTTTTCTGGATACAGTGTTCCAGGATTCCTACTCTCCCCACTCCCCCTTTCATGCTTATTATTGTGTGCATATATTTAGGTTTGGTCTGTTCATTTTTCAGACATGTTATTTTACTCGAATGCAGAGAAGTAAATTTAGTTTTAAAAACATCAGAAATAAGAGACGATTAAACGTCGGACCTATTTTTAATACATTTAGTTGGAAAGCTGGGGAAAAGATTTATGTCTGCTAAATATAGATTCAGGAAATAAGACCTTAAGTCAAAACTTTTAAATGTGAGAATATCACTAATCTACCTGATCCTGATCTTGATCTTGATATCCACTGAGGCAACTTTTTGCTTTTTTTAGGGGTAAGTGCTTTATACTTCAATTAAAAAAAAAGTGGATCGGTTTAGAAAAGAATTTATCGTTCTAAATTTGGTGTTATTTTTATAAAGTTTTTGAATATCTTTAAAATTGGGAATCAGCAAAAGAGTTAAGAAAATATGAGGATTCTTAGGCTTTAAATATATTAAGAAAAAATCCAAAATAACGAATCAGCGGCCTAAGCTTAGGGCTGTGTAAAGTTCCGTCAACGAAACGGAGGTTAACGGAAAAGTCTGTTAACGAATGACAAAAACCGTTAATTTTTAAACATTTAACAAAACGGATTAGCCGTTTTTGTAAAAAAAAATAACGGTTGATAACGAAAACGAAACAGATTACTTTGAAAAAACGGTGAATTTCTTTTGTTTTCTGCCAAAAATTGCATGAAACTTGTACGCGTTTAGATGTATTCAAATGTTGTCTTCTGTGTTCACAACCATAAACGATTTCATAAACCGTTAAGGAAATTTTTTAGTAACGGCTTTGCTGTTAAGAATTTCTTTAACCGTTAACGAACTTTTTTTCGCTTTTCCAACCCTTAACGCCGTTACTTCTGCAAAAACCGTACTATTAATGGGTGGAGCCGTTCAGGATTGTTGAAAATTTTGCGTTATTGTCGTTGATAAAACTGAGATCTGTAACTAACGGTTACTTAGAAAAAACCCCCGGAAAATACCGTTAATGAAACAAAGTTTTTGTCTTACCCTCTAGAACTAACGGCTATTTTTTATTTAAAAGGGTTGGAACTAACCGTTAATAAAATGGCTTGAAAAAGTTGTAATGTGTATAGCCCTACCTAAGCTATTTAAAATACAGATATTATAGATATTTTGATGCTGGAAACCTAAATATCTAGCTAATCTAACTTCTATAAATACTCTACGCTAAAAACTTAAATCATTTAGCAGATTTTTTGGGGGATTTTGTGTCAGCTGAGGGTCTGAATCTATGTATTGCCGTGGGGGGGGGGGGGATAACATGTTAAAATTTTAGTTTTTAATAAATCACAAGATATGACATTTGTCTATATTTACAAAGGACATACAGAGGCAATGTAGAAAATTGTTAGAATTCAACAGGTTTCCTCATTGCTACTTATAGGACATTGTCAACTGAAGGGTCACTTAAAATTACGTGTATAGTCCCTTTTGTTTTGCTTTTAAATTGATTGAATTATAAAATGAATAAACTAGGCCCTCTTTCAACAATCAACTGTCCATTTCAAAGTCTTAAAAATTCCCCACAGCATTTTTGAGCGGATTTCTTGCTTCTCATTTATTCTGTGGATTTATCTGTCCCAGCTTGAATTGTGAACAGAGTAGGGTTTAAAGAAACGAAAACTTTCGCGAAAATTTTCTTTTGTATTTTGCAAATTTTTTTCGCCAAATTTTGCATTTTTTTGAAAAACAATGTAAAAAAATTCGCGAAAAATTTCTAATTTTTCCCCATTTCGGGACACCATAGTACAGCAGCGCTTTAGAAATCCACGAGTCTTTTTTGTTGAACAGGTTAGAAGAGTTCCATTTTGAATTGGTCATGATCACTAACAATTTACAAATGATAAATATTATTTAGTTTCAAAAGTTTTGCGTTGTTTATTTATTTGCAATGTCAGCAAAAAACAAATTTATAATATTTTTTTAACAAATAAAATATATAATCGAATGCTTATTACATCTTTGCATTGATCTTTCATTTATCTATATCTCTCTATCTTTTGCATTTTTTTATTTTTTCTTTCTGTATATATTTATCTATCTTTCATGAGTAAGTTTACTCTGAAACTGTTTGAAGTAAAAGTACATACATCTAAAAATAAAAGATATTTTTAAGACTTTATCTTTCAATCTAACAATCTATCTATCTATCCTTCAATCTATCTATCTATTTAGCTATCTCTTTCTATCACCTATACATCTATCCATTTATCTATCTATCTATCTATCCATATATCTATCTTAATGTTGCAATGCACAGTTTTTCTAAGTTGTCTGGCTTGAGGCGGGGGAAGGTCATTTTTAAATTAGGATTGGGTTTCCTTCTGAGCCGAGATCTTAAAGTAAAGCCCGAACTTTCATTTAGACTTAAGCATGACTTTAGCCTTCATTGTTCAGCAAATGATAAACGCGCATTAAATTCTTCATGTTGGTAAATTTAGAAAATTTTAAATGATTTGAGTGTTTTCAACAAACTCAAATTTTCTAATTCCTATAACACTGCAGCCAGATGGTGTAAACCTTTGATATTGCGTGAATATTTGTGCGCAAATGCATGATCGGGATTTATTTTCCTTTTTGGAGGGACTATTCACCCATAGGGCCCAAAATTCCCCTCGAAACTATGGATTAATCTGATTCGGGGAGGGAGGGGGCCCTGAATATGTCTCTGCTTGGACGTAAAAAGACGCTAAAACCGGGTTTTCATCGGGTTTTATAGCTTTTAAAATCTCGACTCTAGTAGCCGGAAACAGACATTGGGGTTAAAAATAACCCTTGCTGTTGTTTCAAGAGATCATTTGTATATTTAATACACGAGGTTATGGTAACTTTAGAATTGCAAACATATCCGTAGCTGAGAACTCTGGAGTTGGATACTCATTGTAATAAATATTGTAGTAAACCCTATATTTGTAAACCTGATCAATTATTGATCTCGATCTTTTTCTTCAATTCTCTAATTTACAGTTAATGCACGAATATTGTAATTTTGTATGATATTTCAAAGTTTTAGTGATTTCTTCGTTTCTAAAATCGTACAAACACGAAATTGTAAAACAAACATCAAATATCAAATGAATTCTCCGAATTAAATTTGCATATATTTACAATTTACATAGCAAAAAAAGAAAACAACAGTGCAAAAATCAATTGAATTTTTCGCGTATTTTCTCTTATTTGCATAGTCGACTGAAGCAATTTTTATGCAAATAATGTAATTTGCACTTGTCTTGAATTAAGCCTGTTTGTTCAAGAATGTTGTAAAAAGAAAATGACTAGAATGAAATCTGCTGAAATTCAATAAGGTTTAATTTAAAACTTGCAGTTTAAAATATCGCCATGGACCAAAAATATCATAGACATATAGACATGGATAGACATTGTAAACCTCAGTTCATTTGAAGTATCGGCCTGGCTTAAAGGCAGCTAGTGATAGGAGTACAGTATGTACATAGTACATTCTTTTTATAACAAAACGTAAGTACACCAAATGAATCATCCTCTTCTAGAGAGATTGTGCAGTACAATAATTTCAATTTAGGCTTAAATCTAATTCACCAATTACACTTTATTAGTTTGATGTTTTTTGTTTTTGATATTTAGCCTGATTTCTATAAATCATCAATAATAGAATCATATTTTGATATTTAGCCTGATTTCTATAAATCATTGATAATAGAATCATATTTTACATCAAAAAATTTTCCTTAGTTATATGACAAAAACCAGAAGAGAAAAATTATAAAGCAATTGAGTTTTTGCCACTAACTCAGATTTTCAAATCCCATTTCTTTGCAATCCAATATCGTAGACCTTAGATATTTCAAACAATGGATTATGTTAGATCAAATAATCTGAGTTTGAAATATCAAAAGTTTTGAAAAAAATATGGATGCGAAAATTTTGGAATTTGTGGCAAATATTCAAATTCTCTTCTGCATTTATTTAAAATCTCTTAAAAGAAAAATTTATACAGATTTTTGAATGAGTGGGCCTAGTATATGTAGGCCTAGTGACCTATTTTAAAGCTGTAATAGTCAAAACCTACAGATTCAGGGCATGACGGGTATGCATGAGTAAAATGCAGGAATACAGGAATACAGGAATACAGGAATACTGGAATACAGGAATACAGGAATACAGCAATATAGGATTACAGGATGACAGAAAAACGGGAATAGAGAAATACAGGAATACAGGAGTACAGGAAAACAGGAATACAGGAATACAGGGATACAGGAACATAAGAATACAGGAATACAGCAAAACAGAAAATACAGGAATACAGGAATACAGGAATACAGGAATACAGGAATACAGGAATACAGGAATACGGGAAAGGAATACATGAATACATGAATACAGAAATACAGGAATACAGGAATACAGGAATAAAGGAATACTGGCATACAGGAATACAGGAATATAGGAATACAAGAATACAGGAATACAGGAATACAGCAAAACAAGGAATACAGGAATACAGGAATACAGAAATACAGAAATACGGGAATACAGGAATACAGGAATACAGGAAAACAGGAATACAGGTATACAGGAATACAAGAATACATGAATACATGAATACATGAATACAGGAATACAGCAAAACAAGGAATACAGGAATATAGGAATACAGGAATACAGAAATACAGGAATACAAGAATACAGGAATACAGGAATGCAGGAATAGAAGAATAAAGGAATTCAGGAATACAGGAATAAATGAATACAGGAATACAAGAGAACAAGAACTACAGGAATACAGAAATACTGGAATACAAGAATACAGGAATAAAGCAAAACAAGGAATACAGCAATACAGGAATACAGGAATACAATAATACAAGAATACAGGAATACAGGAATACAGGAATACAAGAATACAGGAATACAGGAGTACAGGAATACAGGAATACAGAAATACAGGAATACAGGAATACACAAATACAGAAATACAAGAATACAGGAATACCGCAACACAAGGAATACAGGAATACAGGAATACAGAAATAAAGGAATACAGGAATACAGGAATACAGGAATACAGGAATATAGGAATACAGGAATACAGGAATACAGGAATACAGGAATACAGGAATACAGGAATACAGCAAAACAAGAAATACAGAAAAAAAAGAAATATCAAAGTCTTATTTCCAGTTTTTTTTTTATTTAAGTCTAAACTATCTCGCAATTGACTGAATCATTTCTTTTGCCGCAAATTGCAGTTT